GGGGGGGGATGGGGAGACAGAATCCCAAGCAGGCTCCGTGCTGTCAGTACAGAGCCAGACACGGGGCTCGATGTCACCAACCATGAGATCACAACCTGAGCCGAAATCCAGAGTGAGACGCTTAACCTGCTGAGCCCCCCCAGGCGCCCCTGACACAAAGCCTTTCAAGAGAGTCCATGGGGCCGACAGAGGTTTTTCAAAATCATCTTTCCAGAACTCAGCTCCCACCTGTCTCTGTCCAAAACGTGGTAAGTCTGAGATGATCCCTCCAGTTCCTGCTCCCCAGCCCTTTCCCAATCGTCCCCCCAGTTAACTCAAGAAGGTTCCAGGGGTCTCAGCCCTCGGCAGCATGTTCATTCCTAGGAATGGAACCGATACTGAGCCCCGTCCCACACCGACCGTATGTCCTCTTTGTTCCCGGACACCTGGACTAATAATGGACGCACTGGAGACCCATGTTACTTGCTTGTTTAATGGTTACACGTCAGCAGGTCGGATCCAGGGCTGCTGTTCTGGTCAAGCCGGAAGGAATTTTACCAGAGCCCCGTGGTCACAGATTGGAACAAGAAGTGTAATTTATATACATTCGTGTTTCAGAGAAATACAAAGCACGAGGAATAAAAGCCCGGAGAAAGACAGCACAAGGGGATGTCTCTGAGGGGCAGCGGACAAAAAGTGGAGGCAGGAAGAAAAGAACTAACTTCCAAAGGGAACATGGAAAGAGTTTGAGATGGACACTGGGATCAGTTCACCGGGTGATTTTAATGCCATTGGCCTCATGTCAAAAGTGGTATCACGGTTGTTGTGGGTTTGTTTTTTTTTTTAACAGTATTTATAAGACACCAGAAAGCACACCCTTTGCAACTGTTTGAACATCCATTGAAATATCGTAGACGTCAACTTCAAGATGCACACGTGTGTTGAGTGGTGGGGATAAAGAGCTTTTCAAAATCCTTTCAGGGGACCCCTTAGAGAAAAATTAGCTCAGGGTTGACCACAGGCCTCAATGTGAAATACCAAACCTTTAGAAGAAAACAGAGGAGAAAAATCTGTCTTAGCGTGGGCTTGGCGATGAGTTTTTATTTATCTATCTATCTGCCTATTTATTTATTTACTTACTTACTTCCTTATTCTTAAGAAGGCTCTGCGCTAGGCATGGAACCCAACGCGTGGCTTGAACTCACAACTCTGAGATCAAGACCTGAGCTGAGATCAAGAGTGAGACGCTTAACCAACAAGCCACCCGGGCGCCCTGAGTTTTTAGATATAATATGGAAAGCATGGCCCGTGAAAGAAAATGTGAGAAACTGGACTGTATCGAAATTTTCAATGTTTGCTCTGCAAACAACACCGTTAGAGAAAGAGAAGAAAAGCCACAGGCTGGGGGAAATGTCTGTAACAGACAAATCTGATAAAGGACTGGTATTCAAAATAAACAAGGAGCTCTTAAAATTCAACAAAAGAAAACAAACAGCTCGATTAAAAAATGGGCAAAAACAAAGAAATGCAAACAAGTAAGCATAGGAAGAGATGCTTGAGGTCCTACGTCCACAGGGAAGTGCAAAAAATATTTTTAATGTTTATTTATTTTTGAGTGAGAGAGGAAGAGCACGACCAGGGGTGGGCCAGAGAGGGGGGGGGGGACAGCAGAGAGCCCGATGTGGGGCTCCATCATGACCTGATCGTGACCTGAGCCCAGGTCTGACAGTTAACACTTAACCGAGCCCCGCAGGCACCTGGGAAGTGCGGATTACAAAACTAAATGTGCCCTTCCCAAATGAGGGAGCAATCGTGCTTCTATTTACCTAAAGGAGTTGAAAACTTACGTCTACACAAACAGCAGCACGGAAATGTTTAGAGCAGCTTTGTTCATCATCACGCCAACACTGGAAGCCACCCTGATGTCCTCAGGTAGGTGAATGGATAAAGTGACTGCTCGGTGAAACAAGTCCGCCTGAAAACAGCAACATACTGTAAGATTCTCTTTATGTGACATTCCAGAAGAGGCAAAAAAGGTAGAGACGGGGACCACGTCAGGGGTTGCCAAGGGTTTGAGACAGGGGAGTCCCGGGTGGCTGGGGGAAGCCTAGATGTTTAGGGCTGGGAGGCCGGACACCCTGGAGAAGTCAAGACCCAGAGAAGTGGACAGCGGAAAGAGTGAAGCTTCACATGCACACATTTTAAAATAATCCTTCGGGAAAGTGGGGGATCCCAGGAAGGAACGCAGACCCACCGAAGAATCTGGGTGGATTACAGGTGTATGCAACCACCTTGCTGAACGGGATTGGGGGAAAGGGGCTGATGAAAGTGACTAGGAAATGAGGGGATTGGACGGGGCGGGGGCGGGGTTCACTTTAAAGTGGAGACACCTGAAGTACAGGCACGACCCCAGCCCGATGACCTCGATGACCGAGGTCGACATACAGCGGTGAGTCATCCTGGCAACTCCTCGTCTCTATAACCACCACCCGGGCTACTCGTGACAAAAACACCAGACAAACCAAACTGTCCAGGCGGTTAAACATGAAGAAAGTCTAAGAGGGGATGTGACAACAAATGCAGTGTGGTCCCAGGGCAGAGCAAGGACATTAGAGGCAAGCTGAGGAAATCTGAGTTCTGACTACGGACTTGGGTTAATAACCGGTTGGTTATTGTAACAACGCGTAGGCAGGGCGCCGGGGCGCAGAGGCACCCGGTTCGAGGGCCCCAAACACACCAAGTTCAGCCCCTCCAAACTCCAAAGACAGAGAAACTAGGGGTAGTGAAACAGGAAAGGGACTTAGTTCGGTGAGGCCAACACCGGGAAGACAGAGAATACTTCCAGGTTTGTAGAACAAAAACGTGGGGCGGAGGGAGGCGGGTGCGTGCGGGTGGGCAGTGAAGGTCAAAGGGACTGTGTGTTCCGGGGCGGGATCTTGCTGGCTCGGGGGCAGTCCCTCTGCTGGAGGGGGTAGTCTCGGTTCCCATCTGGGGGTGCTTTGCCAACAGACCAGCTGGAAGGGAGAGGCCAACTGGCAAGGGTGAGGTCAAAATGGAGCCGGCCGAAGCCCTCTGTCAAATACAGCACACTAATGTGCAGTCTTGCAACAGGGAAAGCTGCCCACCCCCCCCCCCCGCCCCGCGCTGCCCTGCGTAGGGGTAGGAGGCTCAGATTGCCCCTCCCTAGTCCTGGGGACCCTCCAAACCTCCAGCCCCCAGCCCCGGGGCAGCTCCCTACCCCAGTCGTGGAAAGCACAAAGCCCTTCAAGGTGGATCCCACCCTTTGTTCCCAGCTAATTCTAATTCCAAAACTCCTTGTGCCCCTACCCTATCTCCTGGTGCCCCTGGGATAGCCAGCCACTCCCGGGTGGGGCACCCCCCTCACCCACGGGCCCGCTCCTCAGGCCGTGGCCACCCGAGATCGGGTGGGCGGCGCAGCCCCAGCCTCTGTGGGCACAGGGGCCAATTCCCAGGCCTCCCCGGACAACGAGAGCCTTCCGCTCCCACCCCCTTCCCGCCCTCCCTCTGGCTCTCTCCTCCTCCTCTCCCCCTCCTCCTCAGCTCCTCCCGCAACTCCAGCCTCACTGGGCTCTGAAAGGCAGCCCCCCCTGCCTTGGGCCCAGGAAACCTGTGCTTGTCACTTCGAAGCGGCCTTGGTGAGAGGCCCCCACCCACTCCCTCACGTGCTCGGGAGCCAGCCTCACGGGGGTACAGGGGCCTGGCAGGAGCCACAGAGGCTTAGACCGGGCTTGCAGGGGGGAAGGTCTCCTGGCCCTCGGCACCCCACTCACCCCCAGTGGCTCCCGCCCGCCCGGGGAGGAGAGGGGGGCAAGATATACCTTCCCCCAGCCCCAAGAACCTCCCGCCCCCGCTGCCACCCCGAGGGCTGCAACTCCCTCCGCCTGTGTCCTGTTCAGATGGTCAGCACCAGCCCCAGGAACGCTGTGGCTGTCCTTGGCAGATCCGAAGCTCCCACGCGCTGCTTGGGGCAGCACCACAGGAGCCAGAGTTCTGGCCTCCAGCTCCCACTCGGGGCGACTCCCGCCGATTCATCCTGGCCGGAGGCGAGGACCAGTCCATGAACTTTGCACCCCATAGATGCCCAGCTCGCCTTGGCAGTGCAGGTGCCAGCGGATGCACACCCATCTCTCTGGCCTCCCCGGGACAGGTGGCAGCCAAGCTGAGTCTGCAGGGGCAGAGGGAGGTCAGCCCAGACAGCGGGCCTGGCGCGGGTCACGGGGGCAGGTCAGCTCAGGGGGCACGCTGCTCTGCAGTGCTGGGAGCCCACATGCCAGCTCTTGCCCGATTTTGTGCACCTCGGAGAGGAATCTGACTCCGTCTCCAGCACAGACAAAAGCCCAGAGAAGATCAGATGGGGAGGGACAGGGGAGATTTGTCCAGCGTGGCTGCTGGGGCTGACAGGAGGAGGCCACTGGGGCCTGGGGCGGGGGAGGGGGGGGCCCGGAGGCCGGCCAGGGGGCCCCTGCAAGTCTGGTCTGGGGGCCTGGGGGCCTGTTGCACCCCCCAGGTCATGGAGCGCCCCCCCAAGGAGGGTCTAGAGACACCCCATGAAGGCTCCCCCTGGAGGGGTGCCAGCTTGGGTCCTAGAGCCCCGGAGCTCCCCGGGCCCTTCTCAGCACTCACCTCCCCCTCGGGCCTCCCTGTGGCCCCTCCGGCCAAGCTGCCCCCCCTCCCAGCAGCCTCGGATCTCACGGATCTCACGGATCTCACGATCTCACGCAGGCAGCTCACTCACTGCTCAGCCACTGGCCTTTGAACCTGCCTCCCCTCCCAGGGGAGAGGAGACCCGCCCTTGGCTCCTTCAAAGGCCCTCCTCAGGTTCCCCAGGTCTTGCCGCCTTCACCCTCTGCCCTCCCTGCAGCGGCAGCCATTTCCCCAAAGTGCCACCGGCTGGCCCACACCCCCTCCAGCCACTGCCTTCTCTCCCCGCCGCGCTCCTGGTACAAGCAAGATCTTAAATTCTCGAAAGGGTTGCCTGCACCCGGCCGAGTCCGCGCGTCCTCACTTCCCCCTGCTTGTCAGGGCGCTGTCTGACCTCTGCCCGAAGACCATGTCCATCACAGCCACCGCCCTCCCTTCCGCGGGCACCCCCGCCGCCCCCCCTCCCCACCTGCCGGGACGATATCTGTGGTTCACTGGGCTACTCGTCTTTCCCCTCTGCCCTTGCTCCCCGGTGGCCCCCACTTCTCCACGACGCCTACATGTCACACACTTCTCGGTGGCCTCTGTCTGCAGACCAGCTTCAGTCTGACACGGGGCCAGAGAAAACTACAGTTAGGGTCTTCCGATGAACAGAGCCGCCCTGCCACCTGGCGCATCCCCAAGCCTCACCCCGCTCCCCCGTGCCCTGACCCAACCTGAGCACAGGCCACCTGGCCAGGCTTCCACAAAGCCCCCGCCCCGGAGACTACTCCAGCCATCCTGGGAGGAGGGCCTGCCCCTCCTCACCCAGCAGGCTCAATCTGGCTCGGGCCAGAACTGCTTTTCTTCTAAAAGCCGCCGGATGGCTGAGGGTTTAGCTTAACAGGATGAGCCATCTGGGGACTGCAGCCTGGTGATCGCAGAGTCTGGGAGTGGTGGGGGGCGGGGGCACCCTTCCCGTCCCCAGGCCAGGACAACGACCCTTTCCTTCCCCACCCCATGGCTGCTCTTCGCCCTGCAAAGTTCCCAACAGGCTGCTCGGCTGCGGGTCGGGAGGCCGCCGAACACCCTTGCTAAAGGGAGGCCTGAAGGTCCCTGGAGAGAGAAGCTGTGCAGGTGGGGGGTGCTGGGCCTCCCAGCTGAGGCCTTCGGGGGAGGGTCTGTGCACCTGACAGGCACCAGGGGGCAGCCTTGCCCTATTCGTGCCCGAATCTCCAGCACATCTGGCACGGGTGGGGGCAGCGAGGGTCCCTGCGACCCCTCCTTGGTGACAGTGTGTTGCTTTGCCGGGCAGGCTTGTCCTCGCCCACTTAGGGGACTCAGAGAGACTTCTCACCCCAAGAGCTGGGACGCTGACCTGAAGCTTCCAGGGTTTCGACGCTGAACGCCAGGAGGAGGCAGGGCAGTGCCTCTGGTAAAGCGGGGGGGGGGGGGCGCGCGCCCGGCCCCGCGGGGGGGGGGCGGGGCCGGCGGGGCCCCGCCCCGC